ACGATGCATGTTGGCGTTTAAGGCGGCCTTTTCTTTTAGGAGATGGTCGAATGAGGTCAGGGAGTCTTGGACGACTGGTTTATTGGGATTTCTATATTTCATAAGAGAGTCATTAACAACTGGCCATCGGGTATTATATTGTTTCTCTTTGTATGTCGCAGATGGTAAATTATTCATATTAGTGTTTACGTTAACTTCAGATTCTTCTATATCAATTAGTATAACAGAGTCATTGTCAGTGATGGTTGGTTGATTATTCATATTATCGATAGCAATGTTAATTGGCGATTTTGACAATTCCATGCCGTGCAGTGTTTCCTTGAATAATTTAATTTCTTGTTTCAATAGCTGATTTTCGTTTCGTAGCCGATTGCATTCACATGTAGCGGGAGCTTCAACAGTATTAACTTTTAGGAATAATAATGCCAAGTCCAATTTAATTTCTGCTACTTCTACAGATAATTTACTACAGTCTTTGCAATTTATTATATAATCGCCTTCGTTCTGCTTGTGTGAACACATTTCTTGCTCATTTGCTTTTCCTTCGCTAGCATCCGAGTCGCTTCGGTTGATAGTTGTTGTTGTATTACTAGATCTGTCAAACATGAATCAACTTGTTTATTCGAAACAGAATCAACTTGTTTATGACGTCAACGTGATAAACACGATCATCTTTGGTGTTTATGACGTCGATATTCGACTTCATAAACACGATCAACATTGGTGTTTATGACGTCGATATTCGACGTCATAAACACGATCAACTTTGGTGTTTATGACGTCGATATTCGACGTCATCAACACCAAAGTTAATCGTGTTTATGACGTCGATATTCGACGTCATAAGCAGGATCAAATTAGATGTTTATGACGTCGATATTCGACGTCATAAACACGATTAACTTTGGTGTTTATGACGTCAACGTGATAAACACGATCAACTTTGCTGTTTATGACGTCGATATTCGACTTCATAAACACGATCAACATTGGTGTTTATCACGTCCATATTCGACGTCATAAACACGATCAACTTTGGTGTTTATGACGTCGATATTCGACGTCATAAACACAAGCAACTTAGGTGTTTATGATGTAGATATTCGACGTCATAAACACGATTAATTTTGGTGTTTATGACGTCGATATTCGACGTCATAAACCCATTCAACTTTGGTGGGAAACTTTGGTTG